CGCCCCTTTCATATGGGAGTTCCCCCCCCCCCCCGCGGGGGTTTCAGAACAAAAAAAGGCTCCCTATCATAAAGGTAATGGATACAAAGATTATGAGAATATTTTTCCGGGACCAAATTATAGAGGAGCTATAGCTATGGAGCTATTCCAAAGGTGAGGTTCCACGCTGTATTAGCGATTCTCCGTTAAACGTTCCCTAATGTCATTCCGTTATCGGCGAGTAAATTTGCTTCGTTACCATTATTAATTTTGTGATGAAACAGGCTTTGAACAAAATTTATTGATTTTACAGGTTCCTGAAAACTTTTCATTCTTGTGAATGTGGTGTGCCCTTCGAAATGATTCACCAGCATACACACCCGCTTTAAGAAGAGACGTTCTACTCGAGAGATAAAATGCTATTACAAGTTACGTAAGTTAAGTTCCCGCACTCCTCCTCCATCCATCATCCTAACTTGAAGGTTTTAAACCAAACAACACAAATTGTGAATGCAGCCTGTATGATTAATATAGAAACTGATGATTATCCCTTTTCCTGTGTCCTTTTCTGTTGTTGAGATTGATCGGATCTTGTCTGGTAAGTCTTTTCTCTCTCAGTAACGACGGAGAAATAAGAACGTACTTATATACCACCTCTTTTATACGCTACACGGTGACTACAGCAAAGAGGACATCATCTCAAGACCAATCGTAAAGAGACTCTATACCAACCATGCCATTGATGGCCAAGAGATCTAGCTTGCGTAGCAGTGGCAGAAGTCCTATACAACTAGACTTTTCGAATGGAGGTTCACCTTTTCTTCTGACAGTTTTGCCCTATTGGAGTGTTGTGGTGGACTAAATAATCGTAGCCTTCGACTTAGGGGGAGGGAGGAATGTTTCACAGTCAAAAAGTAAAACCTCATAGATATATATTTTTTTTCAAAAAAAAAAAAAAAGAAAATGCACTAGGCGTCTGTTGCTTTTGTAAGCCTTTCTAAATTCTTTTACTCTATTCCTCCTTATCTGAGCGAAGTCATTCCTGCTTATCTGAGTCGATAGACGTACACGGAAATGATGACAGTCACCATTCCTGAAATCATGAAATTTCCAATATATAGATTTATCTAAGGCCAAAAGCGAAGCTCTCGACGGATCTTTTCAGAAAAGTCTTTCTCAAGTAATTCACCTTTTCGACCGTAAGCATAAAAAAAACTTAATTTTTACCTTAAGAAAAAAGATCTAAGCCCGCGATCAATTTTAAACCAAAACTGGCCAGCGGATAACGACAACGTAACAAACCGAAGTTGCATTGTCATCAAGAGCGGATACTTAACAATTATTCCTCAAGCCCGAATGGGCTATTGACTCAGAGGCCATGAGGGCGAGTTGAATAATTGTTTTAGTAAAACCCGGCAACTAGTTGGTCAAACGAATATCGAGAATAAAAAACTCTTAGCTAGTTAAAGCTAGACTTTAATCCTTGTTTGCCGCCAAAAAGCCGGCGCTTTTCGCTACTAGTGGGCTATAGGATATAGCCTAGTAGTAGCTCAACCAATCAGAACGCAGCATTGGTAATAGACGGCTAGTTGGATTTTACTAATAATATATATGCATCCAGTGTTTTAAAGTACAATTCAAGCTTAAAAGCAGGGTTATTCGTTGTAAAAATTCTATTGACTAGGGCGTCGTGTTAGCCTAATAGGGGTGTCCATTGTCAATGTATGCGAATAGACTGCACCCTACACCTGTAAAAACCTTGAGATAGGCTTAAGAATTCAAACAATTAATGCGCCTATTTAAAAACCACTTATCAGGGTTTGCTTATCGTTTGACGCACTCTTTCTGGTGCTTTATACATATTTAGGTCTCAGAGTACATGTATACTTACTCCTCGCCTGCTTCTACGCGTTTACCGCAAGTCTTATATAATAATTTTATTATACCTGTCAAACTTGCATGTACATTAATTATATATGTATGAACTCTGGTAATTCTAACAATCCTTTCGTGATATTTTAACTTCTCGTGTACATATCATGCATAAGTTAATATACGCACGCTAAGCCTGTACCAATTCTGAAATTTCTGTGAGATTTAGGGCCTATCCACACAAAGCTGTTCACACACATTTTTCGCTGTCATCACCTGACAGTTTGTCGCGATTTTACAAAGTTTGTCCGAGACGGGACAATCTTCAAAGTCGCCGCGGACAAAATTTGTCCCGGGTAAATATTCGACAAAATCGACTAGATAAACGAAAACGTGTTTCTCTTGTCAATCATTGGTTGTGAAGCCATTGTTCTTTCCATTAAGTTATTACAAATGCGACGGTCTTAAGCCTGTTAAAAGTAAATAGTTTCCAGTACAGTGCGGATTAATTTTTTCAAAATAAAAATTGTCATCATACAATTTTTGGTTTAGATGTTTCAAAGACAATCCCAAATTTGTCTGTTAGTGAGGATAGGCCCAGGCCTTATAGTTTGATTATAAAAATTACCATGAAAACCCCTTCCCTTCTTGTCCGAGGTTTTTGTTCGGCAACAACTGGTTTTAACTTGAGCCCGTTTGTTAGGAAGTACAAAAAACGAACTCCCTATAAGTTATTTTACAATCTAGCAAAATTTCTGAAAACGTTACTGCCAAAATAGCTGCAAGTTTCGATGAATACGTGATCAATAATTAGGCTGTTTGTTTCCAAAGAAATCTGCCACTCTTTCAAAACGTGCAAATCTGGATCAGCAAACACCGTTTCGGGTCATTAATGGCCTCTAACCAGCTGGTTTAGCAGACTCAACTAGATGCATTTTTGAAAAAGTGTTATTGCCAAAATAGGTCTCTTCCCGACAAGTTTGACTAAAACGTTGTTATTTCCTTATTTTTGGCGGTGAAGCAGACGGGGCCCCATAGATATGTTTCTCTGTGGTGTTTAAAGGTTGATAGTGATCGTCCGCCTGCCACTGAAATTGGCCTAAACTCTCGTAATCTACTTGTCGATTCAAATCTAATGGTTGGTAACAAATTTCATTCTTGATTTCTTGATAAGTACTATCTTGCTTTGGATAAACGTCATTATAGTAAGTTGCCTCGTCTAAATGTACGTCATCGTAAGTGTCCTGGCCTCTGATTGTAAGTCTGTTACCAGAGTGTAGTTCGTCAAGAAGCTGAATGGAGTTGTAATAACTTCCTGACGTTGATGGATGGCTGTTGCCGGACATTTCTATGCTTTCTTGCCTTAAACTGTTCTTTGTCCTCCTTGAACAACATGCAATATCTGTCGGAATATATAAAAAAAAGTGCTGGTTAGTCTAAGCAAGCTGTTTCATATTAAAGACAAAAGTGTTACCAACCAGTTTTTTACTTGTTAGGATAAATACTTTTGACACTGAAATTATAATCTCATCATCATCATCATCATCATCATCATCATCATCATCATCATCATCATCATCATTTCTTCGAAGTACATATTGCATTCCATCTTGTGGTGGTTGTCTCGCATTTATTTATCGTGTTGTGTCCGTCGGCCCTATACCGATTTTTGTTTTGCGATTGTATGGGAAACAGTTTCTTAAAAATTTCAGCGGAACTTAGTAATAGTGAATACAACCTGGTCAGTGTTAAAGCTCGCGTATTAGAATTTGAAGTAAAAGTGGCCTCTTACACGTTCAAAAAGTCAAGCTATTAAATTTCATTAAGATTCAAAACGTAATTTTTGCCGTTTGAACCCTAGTTCGTTGTCGGATTCAGTACTTGTCTGTTATTGTCATTGTTGGCTGAAGGCCATTGCCGGTTTTTTTTCTTATACCGTGCAAGGACTATTCGAAAATATGCATGTATACTGGTGTGCGAAATAATGCCTTTGATTGGCGACATCTATCGTGCTTGCACGCTGTTACGATTCGTAGGTGAATACGGTTCGTCAGCGAATCTTCACCCTCCTCCTGAAAATAAAGTCCTTCAACTATGACGTCAACGCCAAGGATGACGCCATTTCTAATTAAGTGAATTTGAATATCGTTCTTGCTGGCGTCGGTCTCTTTCAGGGTGGCTAAAACGTCCTT